ACATCATTCCAATCTCTGCCTCCACCTGCACATGCCTTCTTCTCTCTCTGTCTCTGTGTCCTGTTCTCTCTCTTATGCAGACACCCTCATTGGATTTTAGACCCACCCTAATCCAGTAAGGTCTTGTCCCAGTTCTTAATGACATGTGCAGAGACCTTGTCTCCAATAAGGTAACATGCTGAGGTTTCAAGTGAACATGAATTTTGGGGGAACATGATTTAACTCAATAAACCTACTAGCACTATCTGATGAATCATAGATTTGGCTCTTTTAAAAATGAATTGACAGTTACCATTAGAAACTAAGTTCCCAGAGGAACTTACAAATCCAGAGGACAGGAACCTTTGCTCTGTTCATTGTGTCCCCAGTGGCTAGACAACCAGTGGTTGTTCAGTGAACACTGGCTGGAGGAGAGAGTATTTCAGTGAACATTGGCTGGATGGCCAAGATGAAGCAGGCATCCAGGCAGCCTGTGGGAACAAGGCCAGAAGTAAAGGCTACGGGGGCCCTTTGTGAAATAATCTGAAGGTCAGAGAAGTTGGAGTGCTAGGTAGATAAACAAGAGGAAGTCAGAGAAAATTAATAGAGAAATCTGCCTGATAATCAAAAGTCATAGATAGAGAGGACCCCTAGAGGTATGGATTGGAGATAGTGCCTCTTGGAATATCTTAAGCAGCTCCCTCCTCCTCCTTCCCCAGTGGGATGGTCTCTTTCAGGCTTAAAAGGGTCATATCCTAGGATCAGATGGGCCTCTGCATTTGTTTGCTAATAATAACACAAAGTTGATGATTTAAAACACACACATTTATTCTCTTGTAGTCTGAAGTCTGGCTCATTGGACCATAATCATGGTGTCAGTAGGGCTAGGCTGGCTCCAGAGGATCTAGGAAGAGGAAATCCTTTTCCTTGGCTTTTCCAGCCTCTATAGCTGCATTCCTTGCATTCCATGGCTCTTGGGCCCTTCCTCCCCCTTCACAGCATCTTATGTTCAGTGTTATGTTGCCTTATTATTCTGTGCAAAATGTCTTTTGCCACATAAGGTCACAGGATCTAGAAATTAGGACCTGGATACCTTTGGGAGCCATCATTCAGTTTGCCATAATATCCTAACCAGCGACCTGCCACAGATATCGGGACAGGCTTAGAGTCCCAGACTCTTTCCTCCTGATTTCCTAGTGCACGAAGCGGTGGCCATTCTGTCTTTTCCTTTAACAGGAACTGCCCCTTCTCTCCTATATTAATTTATCTCCGGTTGGCAGGGCTACTAGTAAGGAAAGAGACAAACTTAAAACAAATTAAGCAAATATGCTGACCTTATGCTTATCATATTTAAATTTTCCTTTTGTGTGCTTGATTTCTTATTTCTTTTTTATTATATCATCATAGATGGTTTGCAGGAGTTGCTTCGTTTTCTTTTTTTTCTAAGAAGGGAGGGTGTGATTTGTAATCCAGATTTCAGATGAGAAGAGGAGGGAGCTGCCAGCGGGGTGGTCCCCAGGAGCTGAGCCCACCTCCAGAGAGCAAGGTGGCTGCTCCATCGGGAGACAGGTCTAAAAGGCATGGTTGAATGAACTCATGCTTATGATGTGGTTTTGGGAGTTACATCTTCTCAAAATATTAAACTTGGAGAAAGCCATTTCTTTCTAAAATATGTAACAATTGAGCTTTCTTTCTAGATAGTCATCATTCTAGTGTGACTGCTTATATAAGCACACAGGATATTTTTAAATGGGATTAACCATATAGGGCAGCTTTTTTGTTTTGGCTGCAGAATCTCTACAAATGAGGATTAAGACATTAATGCTTCCACATGTTTATCATTGGGTAGGTTCTCCTTGTTCAACAAGAATTAAAATATCTTGCCCTGGCTGGTTTGGCTCAGTGAATAGAGTGTTGGCCTGCAGACTGAAAGGTCCCAGGTTTGATTCCGGTCAAGGGCATGTACCTTGATTGCGGGCACATCCCCAGTAGGGGATGTGCAGGAGGCAGCTGATCAGTGTTTCTCTCTCGTTGATGTTTCTAACTCTCTATCCCTCTCCTTTCCTCTCTGTAAAAAATTAATAAAATATATTTTTTGTCATTACAAAAGATCCACTAACATTTTTATGACCACTCCCTGTAGATCACCCCTCCCACCCCGACACCCACTCAGCCCTATCAACAAAAACAAATCAAAGGCAAAGCCTGCCACCTCATGGCCCTGGGTGTAAAAATTAAAGCCAGTATGGTCTTTAAAACTTTTTGTTAGAGTTCAAAAGTTTAGAAATGATTGAGATTTTCATATATAAACAATGTCCTTACAGCCCTGCCCCCAGTGGAAATGACAGAGGTATCCATCAACGTGAGCATTATCTCTCCACCCTAAAGCTTTGCCCAAAATCACATTCTGGATCCCGAAGGCTCTGGTTGTCCTGGGCTCTCTTTAGTGCAGAAGTGAATGTGATACAATGTTGTGACAGTACATCAGCTCTTTTGTGTCAGTGCCAGCATAACAGACACGAATTTCAAACTGTTTGCTATTTAGCTCTGTGCTGAGCACGTTGTAGTTTTAACAACCCAGACAGTCCCTATAAGAGTGAGGATTTAGTCACAATATTGTTGGTCTATGTGACAAGTTTTAATGGAGAAAAGGTTACATTTGCATATTCTCCAGTTCCATTAACATTTCTAAAGTGAAGCCCAGTCAGGAATGAGATATGAGTTTGGCATCTTTAGGAAATCTTAGGTGGTTCTCATTTCTTACTCTTTTCTTTTGCATCTAGTTACATTTAATACTTGACATTTCTTGAGGGCCCACTCTATGTGCCAGATTGCGCTCTAAGGGGCTCATGTATATTATTTCTAATCATCCCAACAATTCTCCCAGGTAGGGATCATTATCTCAGTATGACAGATGGACCCAATGCACGTGTATTCCAAGAAAACCTCGCATTCCAGCCCATAGAGATTCTGCAACAAGAGAGACTTCTGAGTTTTTGAATTGCTGACTAAGACCTTCCTTATCCAAATATTATTTTTTAAATCCTTACACTATAATGGATTTGACATTATTTTATTGTTGACACTATTCGAGATGTCATTAGATTTTTATGCATGTAAGCAGGGAGTCCCTAAGACTGTTCCCCTAGAGCAGTGGTTCTCAACCTTGGCTGCACATTAGAATCACCTGGGAATCTTTTTAAAATCCTGATTTCTGGGCCTCATCCTCCGG